AAGGAATGTATATAGCAAGCTCAAGGCTCAGCATTAATTTTGTTAAGCTCACAAAGACAAATGAGCTTTTTAATTTTAAAAAGGGTAACCCCCCCGCCAAACACCACCCCTACCATCATCTAAATAGCACCAGGGTAAGAGGCCAGCCTCATCTTGAAAAGAACAGCTAAAAACAAACAAACAAGCCCCAATATATTGCTTCTGTCGAAAAGTTCAAGCCTGGTATTAAGATGCAGAATATTTCATAAACATATATATTAAATTTACATATCAAATAGAGTTCCACTCTGAAAAAGCAACTAAATGGACCTCAATGATTCTATACTCAGATTCCAGACAAATACTAAATTGATTCTCTTAAAACAAAGGCTCGGATTGGCCTCCCCTTCCTTTTTTTTTTTCAGTATTTAATTATTTATCACGAGAAACTACTCCTCAGGCCACATATTCATAACTCAGGAACACAGGTCAGTGACAAACTTCTATGTAAATCAACCCAAAGAAATTCTTTATATTCCAAAATCACTTTGCACTCTGAAAGATACCAGCCTTCCTCATCTCTTCAAAATCTTTCATAGAATCACAATTTCTGTAGAAATCTGCATATGGCTTCTTTCTTGGTTCAGCCACAGCAAACTTATAAAAAGCTACAACACCTAGGGATACACCGAACGCTCCGCAGACGCCTGGCCAGGCAGCCACGCAAGCTTCGTCAAAGCGCTGGAAGCCATGGCCTTTACTGTCCTCGATGGGGACGCCAACCTCAACACGTCCTTCCTGTGCGATGCAGAAAGAACTACGCATCTCCCTCCTACTGGCGCAGTGCCGCATCTCCGCGCACGCGCAGGTCGGTGCCGCAACCTGCCTAAGTCACGCGTGTGTTGGAGAGGGGAGCAGGAAGGCGTCATTCTACTTTTTTACCACCCCCGCTTCCGCCATGTTTTCAGGTCTATTGCGTCGTGGTCTTCCCCATAAGGAAATGGCCCGGGACCTCCAGGACACCCCGGCGGTGCCGTCGCTTCAGTGGAGCCCAGGATGGCGATGCACGGCAGCGGGGTAAAACCGAGCAGTTCTGCGCAAGATCCGGAATCATGGTGTCCGGCAGTAACTAGCTGTCCCGGTTGAATGACGTGTTGGTCAAGGCCTACGGGAGCCTGGTGAGGAGGTCCCCCTCCCCATTCCTGCAGTCGCATCTGACCCAATAGACGCCCTCCTCTTGAGCTGTTCCATGACTTCATTCTCCACCCACTCACCTGGCTTTTTCTGGGTTTTGACTCCTATCTCAGGAGTAGCTGGGTGCTTACGTCACCGACCCAGACCGACCCTCCCCTGGCCGAGAACCCTCCCTCTAAATCCTAGGGCATCACCTCTGCTAGCTCCATAAGTAAAACAAAAAAAAAAAAAGAAAGCTTCAGAATATTCAGTATTTTAAAAATATAATAAAAAACAGAAAATAAATCCTAAGGCACAACCTCCACCCCTCCCCG